AGCGATCCCGGTCTGGCTCTTTGCTGTAGTCGTCAAGATCCGGGCACAGCGCCTACGCCGCCTAGTCTCCGTTCTCTTGGCCATATGTGATCTGCTCTTCTTGTCTTTTTACTTAATGGTAGTCTTATGCATGGTTAAGTACTATATCTCCAATCATGGTCACTTCGTTACCGTTAAGCTTGCGGCCCGTTTTCCGTAGTCGCTCGCTACCGGTAGTTGGCACGTGGCCATCTTCATCCCGACCACCGTACTCGAGATCCCGTCGCTGGTTGTGAGGTCAATCGTGCGGCTACTCGTGATCCCTCCCTTCTGGCCCGCCTGCTATCGAATTCCGACTGATACTGGTCTGGCTAGTCGAGATCCCGTTGCTGATCATTGATTTTTGCCGCAACTGTTTTTCTTGCCTGACTATGACTGCTACTGGGGGTGGTTCTGACCATTGGGAGAGCGGTTCTGCTGCTCGGTTTCTTTCACGGTGGCTTAGGGCCAGATCCCACTGGCAAAGAGGTTTGGAATAAGTGGCTGAATCTGGACGTGTTACGCACAGAGATGAAGAAACACAGAACAGTCACAATTGTTTGCACATCTCCACAAACACCTCCAGATTCAGACTCTTTTTCCCATCCTCTTTGCCAGTGGGATCTGGTCCTTATTGTACTTCTCCAGCCAAAGAGTTTACTTCCACGGGCGGACTGCAGCCAGGGGTTCACCTGCTTTATGCAGCAGCAGCAATCAGAGTTGCTTGACACTGGCTGCTGCTGTTGCAATCATACTTTCACGGCTCCAGCATTGCAGGGGTTGGGGTGTCTCGGCTGGAACTGCTGATTTTTGCTTTTCCGAGCTATAATTGTTTTATACCGGACCAGGTCCAGGAGGAGCATATTGCATTCTCTGCTATTCTGCATATGTAGCGGACCCACCAGGTGTGGTGCTCCGCTAGTGACAGAGATGGAGATGGAGGAAGAAGGGGGAGCAAGATGGCACAACGCAGCTCCCCACGCAAGACTTCAACGCACGTACTCCAAAATGTGCAAGTGAGGAATGAGACTGAAAACAGACAATGGCTGGGGTATACCCCARCGGACTGACGRGACTGGACTRGACTGGCTGGTASYGACAGAGGTACCGGCCTGGACTGGCCTACCCCGAATATAACACAGGCCTGTGAGAACAGGCCAAGGGGCTGGTCTCACAGGCCAACCCGAGGTCCGCTACACGATCCTCGGCCTGTGATGGATTGCCTAGATACAAACATGCTTCCGCCAAGAAGCGGAACTCTACCAAAGAAAAGAAAACCTGAGTAGTCTAGGATGCGGAGCAAGCTCCATGCTGAGTCCACGCCATGCAACCTAGGATATAAAATGTCACAAAACAACAATGTCACAGCTAACAGCCTAAGTGAAAGTAGGAGCAACTAACTAACATACATGTCCTAGGAAAGCAAAAAATAGTGACAACTAGATCCTAGAATGTTGGAGGCACTAGCCTCAGTCTGGTAACAACTGACTAGTGTATAAGTCCTAAGAACAGCAGAAGCAGAACAGCTAAATCCTAGAAACGTCGGAGGCAGTAGCCTCAGTCTGAGCGCAACAAAGCAATCAACAAGACAACCATATGTCACATGAGAAGTGTGTCGCACACCAAAGGGTGGGATGGTCTCTGAGGGTGGCGAATGCAGCCTAGGGGTCGAAAACTCCGAAGGGCATCCACACATAGTGAGAGGGGAAAACACATGTCATCAGGCTCAATGAGGGTAGGGAACTGGGAGCGAACAGAACCAATGACCCTAACAGATACACCATCAAGGCGGGTAATGCTCGACTAAGGGGTGACCGCTATGGAGGGTTGACCATGCAAGGGAACAAGGGAGACTGGTATACTGGGCGCACCTAGATGAAGCATGAGGGGCTGCCTAACTAGGGCGCGAGAGCCGGCGAAGGGTAGAAAGATGATGGGTAAGAGAATCATGCAAATGACTCCTAAAGTGAGGGAAGTCGGAGCTAGATCCGTAAGATAGGAAGCCAGGGCAACGCTACGGTCCCGATGCCTATGCGTATACTAAGGGAGAGCCCAACTCAGAGGAACCCGGCTAAAGGGAGACCATCATGCGACACAAGCAGGGTACTGTACAGGGTAGAGTGGTAAGAGAGTGGCGACGTCTGAAGTAGGCAGAGCTGATCGTGATGAAGTCCATGAAGCTGCCGATGGCGTCCACGATGAGAAGTCCGGAATGCCGTCGAGGAAGAGCCGCAACGTCGACGAGCTGAAGTAGCAAAACTGATGTGGATGGAGTACAAAGAAGTCAAAGACGTGGGAAGGTAAGTCAGAGTCAATCGTCGTATCGAGCAGGACGACGACGAGTGCGCTGTGGACGCTCATAAGCATCCGGCTGCTGCTGAAGGTCTGCCTCAGATGGAGCAGGCTCAACTTCAGCGGTCTCCTCAGCCGGAGGAGAAGGAGGAGGGTCAGTGGGCTGAGGAGGAGCAGTGAAACCAACACGACGAGCACGGTCATAGGCACGCACCAACATGCGAGCGTGCT